ATGGATATAAATCCGACAGAATGAAGAAAATATCTGGAAAAACAAAACAAAAATCCTTAAAATGCGATTATGTTGTTTTAATATGAATGAAATGTTGACGTATTAAATATTAAAACAACATAATCGCATTTTAAGGATTTTTGTTTTGTTTTTCCAGATATTTTCTTCATTCTGTTGGATTTATATCCATTTATATTTGCTTATCATACTGTCCACTGGAAATACAAACCTGAATTCATTTTATTACATGGAGGACTGCATGCTTATCCGAAGATACAGGATTCCTACAAGAACAGAAAAGATTTTCTAACGAACTGTATATATGAAAAATCTTTCCATCGGAATCAAATTTATAAAATTTTTAAGATTACGTTGTGAAAGCGTCGCCCATTTGACGACAACGTGACCACGCTCAAACGGAAAGCTGATCATTTAAAATTTTCATTTATCTGTTTTGGATAAGACTTGTTTTTATGTCCATCATTTTCGTCGTGTTATACTGATTATGTTAATTGTATTTTTAATGAATATTGTCCTGAAGAAGGTTTTTAAACCGAAACGTCAGACGTCGACATTTCATTCATATTAAAACAACATAATCGCATTTTAAGGATTTTTGTTTTGTTTTTCCAGATATTTTCTTCATATATATATATATATATATATATATATATATATATATATTGTTTATCGGCATATATCAGTATAATTGATTTGGGTGTATTTTGACCTTGTGTAGTGATTGAAAGAAAACACATAGAGTGTTGATAAATGCAAAATAAATCTTTACATATCAAAATAGAATAAAGAAGGATATGATGAAAGCTGACGTCTCAAGAGTTCAAGTGTAAAAGTCCTGACACATACGAGAGATTGAGGGAAAAATAAAAAGTCCGAGTGGTAGTAAACATATGTACATATGTGGCTGAGTGATTAGAATATTCGCTTTCTGACCATGAGACTCAGGTTCGAATCTCATTTCCTGATGTTATCGTACAGTGGGGGAGGGGGTCTATTAAAAATGTCTGAAAACCATACCACGGGTTGACCCAGGCCTTGTGAGTGAAATTAGGTAGATGGAATACCTGGGGACCATTGATAGTTGTGCTAGCATGAAGTCACAAATCATCGTGACAGAGGGTTTGAGTGTGCTAGCGTTATTCAGTTTGGTGATCATTCTAGATAACACACTCTCTCCCAGAAACAGTAACTAAGGTCTGCTCAGCATAGCTGCAGTATAAACCACAGGTTGGCTCCGTGGGTGTTGAAGACACACAAATGTGCCTGAGCAAGAGTCAGCAATAGGGACTGGCTAGTCACCCTAATAGCGAGTGGCTAGCTATTATTATTATTATTTATGTGTAACCGTAAATGTATGTATGCGTAACAGTAAACATACGTATGTATGGATGTATGTGTAACAGTAAACTTATGTATGTATACGTAACAGTAAATGTATGTATGAATGTGTGTAACAGGGCACATTTAACATTTAATTGCATGAAATTACAGGATGGTGATTTGGAGGGACGAATAATTGGATAAAAATTATTCAAGTACTCAGGAGAGGTTGAGGTGGAAATTAAAAAGGAAATGCGTTAAAATTTACGTTTTAAAATAATAAAATGAATTTAAGAACAGTTCCAAGTATAGCAATATGATTTCTCACACATCCTTAGAGATAAACAGATAGATCCTTTATCCATTTAATTCAATTTAATGACCATGGTTCCTTAGGAATCTTGTCTCCAGGCCATCTTTGAATCAATTTAATGACCAGTATTTTTTAGGAATCCTGTCTCCAGCCTGCCTTTAAATTGGTAACCATAAAATTTTGTTGGTGACTTTAGATAATCATAAAAGTAGAGTTCTTTGAAAAACTGACCACCCAAAAACTGAATGGGTGGTCTTCTTTTCTGGAAAACAAGTAAACGGATAAGGGTGGTGAGTCCGCCAGCTAGTATCCATATAATAAGTGGTGAGTGAAGCAGTCAGTAAGTCAGCAGTCACTGAGACGACCAGACAGTGAGTGTAAGAGTCCTTTTCCCGTTGTCGGAAGTTAGTAAGATAACAGAAGTTCACTTTTTCGAAACTGAAGGAAGACCTTACCGATTAAGTGAGAAATCGTATTGTTCGCTAATTCCCAGCCAGTGGATGGAAAAGCATTTGTCATTATTCTTTGTTCAATTCTATCACGGCCAGTGATACTAACCTGTGAATATAACGATTCGGGTGTATACGCATACAGCCGACCTTGGATGTCATCACAGCTTGTGCAGTAACGTGCAGAAATGCATCGTCATACACGGAGAATCAAGACTTAACTATGTTGCGGGTTGTAGACAAGTGAAAATGTATCAGAAGATAATTTATGTAAGGCAAAGATTATCCGTGCTTATTATGCATTATCCCACAACAGATAGATTAAATAAAGAATATAAGGACAATTTGTATTGCAAGAAATTACTAAAAACACAGTGGATAGAGATCCAACAATAAAGAGATTTTTATATATATACAATAGATATACATGCAAGGATAACAGAATGTTTGTTGATTTTGGCAATTGAGGCAAGGTTATGAAGAATGTTCATGCAGAAATTTGGTCAATAAAAGTTAATGGTTTTGATTTGTTAGTGAAATTAAAATAATTTCGTTTCTGCAACGAAAAATCTCAAATGTGTTCGTTCAGTTAGAATTTAAGTTGTGAAGAGTTATTTGCCCTTAACTGTTTGGCTAAATTGATGAATTGTACAATTACTGTTTGTGTAGTGAAAACGTTCACTTTTTAAGTCAATTGTAATTTGATTACCACGTGGACAATGGTCAATTGAGTGCTGTGTTGAGAATTTTGAAGTAATGTTGATCAGTGAATTGACACGCGAAACTCGATGACTGACTGACTTGAATTGAGTCATGCGACTGTTTATATAGACTTTGGTGTCTAAAAATCGGCTCCAGGGAGTTTCGGCAGGAAAAAGGATCTGTTTCGACTTTGCTACAGTTTAGTATTTTTCAACCAATAGAAGATTGAATTTACTGAAACGAAGTGGTGATTGGTTAAGGCTTTTTTTTTTTTAGGGAAGAATACATTTTTCCGAAAGGGGTGGAAGGCTAATGTGGAAGATTCCTAAACTAGAATTAACTAGACAAAATTGAGTAAAATTGAGCAAAACCAATGTCTTAGGTCCTGCGAAATTAAAATTCAGTAGTTGGTTTATACTATACGCTACCTGTACAGAATGTGTGTGTTCTTACAAATTATTCCAGACAAAGAACACAACATGTTTTGCTTTGAGGTGTGTTTATGTTGACCGCCCAAGAACACAATTAAAAGTGCCACATGGTTCTTTTAACAATGTCTCATAAGATTGTCGAGTGCAAAAATTAGATATATCAATGTCAAATTTGGGAGGAGGATTCGTCTATATAAACGGAAATCAGGTTCAACCAGAAGAAGTCGACTTGGAGCGGCCTGGGATTGCTTTTAAGACACTCGTCGCTAAAGAGCGCAGCCATCATTCTTGGACTAGAGTGAAAACATAGACACACGTATAACATCTCCACTGCCAACAGTGTCACATCCTTGGTCATGGTCAGTAAATTTTTTTGGCCGTCGTCTACATCTGGTCCTTGGAGTCTTAGGACGACACTTTAACCACGGGCTAATGCTGCGCTGGTCAATGCTGACCCAAGCTGGTGGTTGGTCGCTGGCTGTTTCAATCCACACCTTCTCTACCCACGTGTTCTTGATTCCAGAGCAGTGAAAGATCGAAGGTCATAGTCTCACAGCGCTAGTCAAGTCTTGTTTTGATAGCTTTCTTGTGGGAGCTGCTGCTGATGCCTGAAGCCAGTTGTCTTCTGCTGGACCAGAATCTACACTTTGTTCCGAGGCATCGTGTCCGCAAATGGTCCTCTTTGTTGTTTTCTGAGGCCTTTTTATATCCTGAATCATTTTAAAAACACTCACTGGAAAGTGAAGTTTCTTCTTCCGATTGTTTTTGTGTTGACAGGATACAACTCTTTCTGTGTCAATTTGATGGGTAGAGTTTATTTTTTATTTTGTAAAAAACAGACAAACATTTAAGCTTGTAGTGAATTTTATTCAATGCAGTTTAATTACTGCTTATTAGTGAGGTTCGACCATTTCTTTTATAGTCGAGTTGTTCAAAGGGGAGACTATTGTAGTTGTCTTTCACCACAATCTTATTTTAATTTAATTAATTCTTATTTATTCTTTTGAATTCACCACAGGTTAAGCCATAGCTAGGGATGGGGAGGGGAGGGGAGAAAAATTTCATGTCTTTCCTAAGATATAAAAGTAAATTTAAATAAAAAAGAAAAAAATCTCTCTATCAACCTCTATGGCTTATTTAATGCCAAAATCTAAATATTTTGAGTGTAATTGTATGCCTTCAACTGCAGGTAACATGCATTGTTGGTAATTTTACTATAAATAGGTATTGGTAATTTTGCTATGAATAGGTATTGTTGGTAATTTCTTATATAAAAATATATTGCTGCTATTTTTTGCTATAAAAGTATATTTTCATAGTGATTTGTTTTTGTTTTGGGGTTCACTATCTGCCAATAGCTGGGACCCTAAAAGGTGCTACCACCCCGAGCCAGGGTGGACCTGGGAACAACAGCAATTAAGAGGTTGTTCCATGCTCGCCAAAACCTCCAATCTCCCGATCAGGGGCCTTGCTGCCGGATGTAGTTTATCGTCAGACCCAGGACTCAAAAAGGTTTCGTGTGAAACGTTTCGTCCTTTTAGACATCATATGAAACGTATCACACAAAAGATTTTCCACCTTGTTGCAACTGCTTTGTTATATTTTTTTTCTTTCTAAAATTGTTCTTGATATATAAAAATTTATATATCGTTTTCCTATGAAATTGAATGCAACAAAGCTTGAACATGGCTCGCCAATTCCAAATTTCGTCTATAAGCATTACGGTAGCCGCACATCACGTTTTTAACGGGTACTATGCGAGCAATGGATAATAAAAGATGCACTTTGTTTAGGACCGGACATATTTTGGGAGGCTATATCTTTTCACTCTTCACCGCCTCTTATTGTTCTTTCATCATGGCGGAACTGATAGCGACTTTTTGTCATTCCTTTCACTATTTGTTGTGGCCTTTCGTCTGTTTTAGTCTGCTACTCTATTTCTTCTTGTCCCACTGTCGCTTGGATCAATGGAGAAGCCATTCCGACACCTGGAATCATTTGTTGGTCGTCACCGCTCACCCAGACGACGAATGTATGTTCTTTGCACCGATGCTTTTGCATTTCCGAAGAAGGAAGAAAAATATTTCTGTTCTCTGTCTTTCTACGGGTAAACAAAAAAACGTTTTTTTTTTATTTGCTTTTTTATTCATTTATTTGGGGTATTGTTGATTTTACAGCTCTAAGCAATTTTCGAATATCACTGAATTACCTCCCCTACATTTATTTAACTTGCCTCATATTCTGAGTCTCTTTTTTTAAAATAATCGGAGGTGGGGGATTTGAGATAAAACAAGAAATAAAAGTCCGGCCTTTCACTACTGTTTGCCGGGCACACTTAAAAAAATTTTTTATTTATCATGTGATTAATCATTACTAACTCTTTTTTTTTTCTAATTTTCTTTTTTTTTTTGTTTTTAATTTTTGAAAAATATTCTTTTTTTTTTTTTTTTAATTTACCTTATTTTTTAATTTTTCTCTTTTAATTTTCTTTTTTAGTATTTTTTAAATTTATTTTTTAATTTTCCCTTTTTTAATTTTCTTTTTTCCTTTAATTTTCTCTATTTAAATATTTTTTTTTAATTTTCTTTTTTATCTTTTCTAATTTTGTTTAATTTCTTTCAAATGAAAGAATTGAATTAAATTTCCTATAGGGTCAGGTTTATTATTTTATTCAAGCTGGATTTAATTATAAAGGTAAATGTTTCCATACACCCATCCTCCTCCTTATTGACTGAATGCGCATAATCCATCATTGGCCAGTTGACTACATAAGTAACAAATAATAGGGATGATAGGGTAAATAGTATAAAAAAGAAATTATTTTAATAATCATACTTTAGTTTTTGCATACGACCACTGTCTTTCTAAACAAAACAAAAAACCATGCATTTTAAACAATTTAAAAATATTTTCTTTAAAGTTGCATTTTGATTTTATTAAATGACCTAAAAAAAAAAAAAAAGGTAAATTTTCATTTTAACACCCGAGCGTCAGTCACTGCTGAACTACTTTCTTTCAGAAATTAGTACGCACTTCCCTAAAGCGATTTTTTTTTTTTTTTTTTTTTTTGTACTTAATTTAAGAGGAAAACCCCCCCACTGTGGTGGGGGGTTTAGATTCTTCTAATTTCATGTGCCATGCCATGTATCTCTGAGGTCAAATGACCAAGCATTGGTTGAAGTAATTCAAAAAGTGAGTTAACCCAAAGTGTTGTGAGTTCAATACCTGGCCACAGCAGAGATAACAAAAACTTGGGAGAGTTGAGTTACTAAGGGGAATTAACTCGTACATCTCAGTATCAGTTAATTCCCTTTATTAACTCAACTTTCCAAAGCCATCGCACATGAAATTAAAAAAATCTACCCTGTGGACTAAATAAATAAAGGGTTTGGGTCGAAGTTTCAATGTATATCACCTAAAGAAGGTTTGAGTGTACAACAGCTGAAATGTTGCGAATATGTCAGTAAAGATGAGAACAATAGCCTGAACGATGTAAATCATTGGTTCCCAACTGATTTTTGGCCATACCCCACTTTGGCATTTCTAAAATTTTGATTCCAAATTTTACTGCAATTCACATTAAGGAAGCTTAAAAGGCTATTAAGTTGGTCTCTAAACAAGCCTCCAAAGAGAAAAATTACAAAAAAACAAAAAAACAGTTATATATATATATATATATATATATATATATATATATATATATATAGTTTTAAAACATATAAAAGGCAGAAATATAAAATATTTGAATGAAAGCTTATTCTGTAATATACTTTGATCATTTTAATCATGAAATAATAATACAAAATGAAATTTGAGCTTGCTACTAGAAAACAATTCACAGTTAATAACTCATTCTCAAATTGCCCCTTTATTCTTTTACTTAACTTGGTTTCTAAACAAACCTTCAAAGACCATGGCGTCCATGAAACAGAAAAATTAAAAAAAAAAAAAAAAAAGACAGTTATATATATATATATATATATATATATATATATATATATATATAAACATATGGAGAACTGAAAGGCAAAAATATAAAATATTTGAATGAAAGCTTATTCTGTAATATATTTTGATCATTTTAATCATGAAATAATAATACAAAATGAAATTTGAGCTTGCTAGAAAACAATTCACTGTTAATAACTCATTCTCGAATTGCCCCTTTATTCTGTTGGTATAGTAAGCCAAAGGGTACGCAGCCCCCTCCCCCCCACCACCACCAAATATTACCATGCCCGACCAGTGGTTTATGCATCCCACGTTGGAAATCATTGATGTAAACAGTGTGAATTGTCACAGAATTATTTCCTTTTTAAATTTCTGTACAAAAATACAAAAGCAAAAAATACTTTTTTTTATTTTACTCTTTCTGCAGGAAATTATTACCATCTTGGAAGTAAACGGAGGTTGGAATTAGTGAAGAGTTGTAACATTCTTGGAATACCTGAGAAAAATGTGACGGTAATTGATGAAAGGTAAGGTTATTATTTACCAATGTCTTAGGGTGAAAGATTTTAATGGAAACCATTTTCTTTCGAGGACCATTTTAACATTGTTCCCATTTACCTGGCTATCAAACAGGACATTTTTTTTTCTTTTTAAAAGGAAACATCCACTCTGAAAATTCTTAATCCAATTTTTTTTTTTTTTTTTTTTTTTTTTTAAATACTAGAATTTTATTTGAAATCCTTACAGTATTTAATATTGTTGAGGTTTGGAATCCCAGATATACATCACCTGACTTCTATTTTCTAAGTCAAAGTAAAGATACCATCTGTAGTGCAATACAACAAGTGTTGATGATACAAACAAATATGCGATATGTTTTGTCGTGATTTACAATCCGTTTTCATTCAAACCAATTGATGAAATTTGAATAAGCTGATTTGTTGGCCATGAGCAACAGAAGTCACAGATATGAAATATTCACCAAATTTCCTCCCTCCCTTTATTTATTTGGGCTGCAAGTTATCAAAAAACAAACGTTTTGTTATCGAAAATAAAAAAACATTCCTGCCACCCCCTTTTATTCCAACTGCTCTATTTCAAGCTTCAATAAAATCCATACTTAAAGAATCTCAAATCTGTCTACCTACAACCACAACCAGTGTAAGTTAAATTCTTTCACTGATGCATAAACATCCCCACCAATCAACATATAGACAGCTACCCTACATAGCTGAAAATGTCCACTAGACACTCAAATGCACAAACATACATGTTATCACCTGAATTCTACACACAAATGCTCTTTGACAGGACTAACAGATGTTAGGCCGGCTTAACTAATGAAAAAAAACAATTGTGTGTGTGTGTATATATATATATATATATATATATGATATTATAACAAAAACATGTTGTAATCACTATGCAATAGCTTTTGTGTTTCAGCACTATGTTGTATCTCTTCAGGCGATGGTAAGTAAGGATGGCTTACTCTTACCTGAAGACGTACAACAGTGCTGAAACACGAAAGGTATTGTGTAGTGATTTCAACATGTTTTTGTTATATCTTGTAATCATACTTATTATAAAACGCAGAGTGTGTGTGTGTGTCTGTACATTTAAATATTGGATCGGATTTCCTACATTTTTCAACCGATTTCAACAAAACTTCACAGGACTATGTAAAATTACCTTGCGGTGGTTCTGACAGCGCCAAAAATTGGAAAAACACAATTGTTTTTGCATGAAATCAATTTGAAAACACGATTAAGAGTCATCACGAGAATGAAAGGGGGACAACTCATATCAAGTTATACTTATTATAAAACCCAGGTTATTTGTATGTGTGTGTTCATTTATATATGGGATCGGATTTCCTACATTTTTCAACCGATTTCAACAAAACTACACTTTTTTTTTTTTTTTTCAGCAGGTAGTTTTTCTTATCTTGCACACTTTTCTTTATTTTTATATTCATAATGCTTTAAAAATTCCATTTACAAGACAATTGTTTATAATAAAATTCTATTCAATCGGTAGACTCATAACAATTGAAAACAATGTTTTTGTTTCAGTTTGGGTTTGACCAATTCATAAAAAAAAAAAAAAAAAACTAATTAAGACATGCGTGTCCATCAACCTTAAACAATAATCTTTGTCAATTTTATTTTTCAGTCTTTATGATGGTCGATACTTGATCTATCTTTTACTGTTACATCTTACAGCAACGCTGGGCTCTACTGCTAGTAAAATAATATATTGCTTTATTTTTTTATTGAGCACATTTTTTAATAGTGAATGCTACAAACAGTGGGATTTTACATCATCTGTTCTTTCTCCCATTTGTGTGTGTGTGTGTGTGTGTGTATATATATATATATATATATATATATATATAATATATAAATTTAAATAAGCAACTTAAAATTTTGACCAGTACTTGGTTTGCTAAATTTTGTAATGCTTCAGTTTAATAAATAGAAAAGAAAAACATTTTAACTAAAATAGTAGAATTTTTGAATACAGTATAAAATAACGTATTTAGTAACAAGTGTTGTTTAATTTTACATTTTTCTTCCTTTTTTTTTTTTTTTTTTTTTTTCTTCTTCTTATTAAAGTTGCATAAGATAAGCATCAGAAGTGGCGTTATTTAAGATTTAGTCAAGATTGAGTAATGGCAGCTGATCTCAAAAATGACCTACAAGTAATGACTTGTTCATTTTACCACCTCAAAAACGAAACTCTTTTAATTGTCTGAGAGAACCCTTTCTATCTTCCATCAGCATGGCTGATGCTAATCACTAGCAGAGTGACTCATTGCACCTTCTCTAGCTAATATTTTCCACTGACCTGATTATATTGAATCAATTGCGATATCTGTTGCTAGGAACGTTGATTCACTCTGTTGTGCTTGACAATTTTTCTTGCCAGAATCTGTCTTCCATATCTATAAGTCTATCATTCATACATGTTTTGAATACTGCTGTGACGTCTGGTCTGCTGCTCCTGCTATATATTTAGAGATTCTTGATAAAATCCAAAAAAGAATCTGCAATGTTATCAGCTCTGCCCTGGCATCTCAGCTTTAGTTATTTTCCCATCATTCTAACATTGCTTCTTGGTAAAATCTAAAGCTGCAATGTTATTAGTCCTGACCTGGCATCTCAGCTTCAGTGACTTTCCCACTGATGTAATGTAGCTTGCCCGTGTCTTTTCTATAAATACTTTCATGGTAATTGTTCGGATGTGCTCTGAATTTAAGTGCTGTTCTAGATTGGCATCAAGGTCCTATAATTTTACTGCTGAAATGGCTAGATGTTACCGTAAGTTCTATGCTAACAGTTTCTTCTATTGCACTTCTTGCTTGTGGAACTCTTTCCCAGCTTCTTGCTTTCCTGTCAACTTTGATCTTCAGAAAATCAAATTATCTTCTTTCTTCCTGTTCTTTTATTGTTCTCTCTTCATAATAGTATTTTTTTTTCTCGTATTAACACTAAGTAACCCCTCGTGTCTTAGTGGCTTTATTGCTTTGCTTGGGTGTGAAATGATTTGAAAAAAATAGATTCTAGTTGGAGTCTGTCGATATTTCTGAGATGAGGTATTATGTACAGTATTTAGTAACATTAGTCGGACTATTGTCCTCATATTTGTCACAACGTTTTGGCCGTTGTACGCTCCAGCCTTCTTCAGGTGGTTGGAATTTCGAACTGAACCCTTTATTTCGATCACTGGGGTAGACTGTTCTAGTTCCACGTGCCATGTTTGATGGATGTCAGTTATCTCCTGCTAATTTTCCCTCTGAAAGTTCTCCACTGCCTTAACCAGGTATTGAACTCACCTTCTTTGGGTCTGTCACTGGATCTAACCAACGCCTTTATCCACTGTGCCATGTGTTCTAGTTGCTTATTAACAAAAACTTGTGTAATTGCTAAAACTAAGGGGAGACAACCCATGACTGCCTAATCCAACTTATCATACTTTGTGTGCTTGTAATGGCCACATTGTCAGTTATTTGCTGGTTACAATAAAATATTTAAATTATGTAGCTAAGTGTGATGAATTTAGGGTTATATGACACTAACTATTGGTTCCTTGATTAGTCACAATTTCTCCTGACCTAGACGCCATGGGGCAGTCCTGCTGAAGCATTGCTCATCTTGGGTAAGACAATAAACTACATCTGGCAGTAAGGCCTCTGATCAGGAGGTTTTGAGGAATGTGGAACCATGTCTTAACTGCTGTTGTTCCCAGATCCACTCTTACCCGGGGTGGTAGCACCTGTTAGGGTCCCAGCTATAGGCAAATAATTGTGTCCCCTCCCCCCCAAAAAATAGGGTCAAAACACCATGAAATTATAAAAATACATTTTTATAATAAAAATAATTACCAGCAATACATTTTTGAAAAGAAAAAAAAATATATCTGTCTCTATTTCTGAGATGAGGTATTATGTACATTATTTACATTATTCAAGGACACATGGCACAGTGGATAAAGGTGTTGATTAGATCCAGTGACAGGACCCAAAGAGTGTGAGTTCAATACCCGGTTAACGCAGTGGAGAACTTTCAGAGGGAAATTAACAGGAGATAACTGATAACTGACATCCATGGTACATGGAACTAGAACAGTCTACCCCAGTGAACGAAATAAAGGGTTCAGTTCGACATTCCAACCACCCGAAGAAGGTCGGAGCGTACAACGGCCAAAACGTTATGATAAATATGGCGAAAAAGATGAGGACAACTGTCCAAATAATGTAAATAATGAAAAAAATATATATATATATATTACCAGCAACATATTTTAGTAAAAAAAAAAGAAAAAAAAAATTATGACAGCTCCCAAGAAAATTTAAATTTCAGCATTAAGTGACCCATAAGGAATTGATATGCCACTAAATCAACTAATACAAAACACTGAAGCATTGCAGAAACACTCAGGCTTGTCAGCAACTGATTTTTACTGGCGGAAGATATGTTGATTTTTCTATTAGGGAAAGGTTGATAAGCTGTAAAACACAAATCAATCCATTAGGCATGGTGTTTTGAAATCAATGATCATATGTCTTTGCCACCTGTGGACCTGTACTTCTGCAAAAGTCAGTTTAATTTCAATACGTTTGATTACTTTGCTTGAAGGGTCTGTATAAAAATAATACCCCCCCCCTCCCCACAAAAAATGGTAGGAGTTGCTTTTCAGGTTGATGCTTTCAAACCCGTATACAACTCTGATCAGTGTTTACTGACATTTCGAGCATCTATTTCAATCTCATTTTGTAAAATCTAAGATAAAGGGTTTCCTGCAAATTGGCAAATCTAATGAATTCTTTCAGTTGCTTTCCAGATGATCCCACTCGGATTTGGAATGAAGAACTGGTGGCTCGGACAATTCTCCAACACATTGAAGACATCAGTCCAGACGTGGTGCGTTTTTGCTTATGGTTTCACAAAATCCTTTCTATTTATGTAAATTGCAGAGCATTGAGATTAACACCTACAAAAGTCATGTCTATTCTTGTTTTTGGTTTTTCCACTATATTTTTAGTTACCAAGTATGAAGACAGATTCCTGAAGAAGGCCAGAGAGTAAAATGGCTGAAACATTGCTAGTATAGCAACCAAACAGTGTATACTGGTCCAAATAGTAAAGCATATAATCATGATAATTCATCATCTCAAAAATTATGAAATATTTCACTGGTTATTCAGATTTCTAAGGATTGCCCATTTGGCTTTTCTTTCCTTTCCATAATTCTATCTGGGGGTTGATTTTTTTTTTTTTTTTTTTTTTTTCAGTTTTTCCCTTTTTTTTTTTTTCTGTCAGAATGTTTCAGATGAGGTCTTGTCATTATTCTATGAATTCTTCAGACTAGAATCCTCATCATTTTTGTTTTGATCACTACATTTTGGCCAATGTATTCTCCAGCCTTCTTGAACTGTCTGAAGGTCTGAGATGAACACATTATTTTATTTCTTCAGACTAGTGTCCTCATCTTTTTTGTTTTGGTCACAACATTTCGGCCAAAGCATTCTCCAGCCTTCTTTTATTGTCTGAAGGTCTGAGATGAAGTCTTATCATGATTCCATGAATTATTCAGACTACTATTCTCATCTTTGTTGTTTTGATCACTACATTTCAGCCAATATATTCTCCAGCCTTCTTGCATTGTCTGAAAGTTTGAGATGAAGATTATTTTACGATTTATTCAAACTAGTATCCTCATCTTTGTTGTTTTGATCACTATATTTCAGCTGCCTTGTATTGTTTGACTATCTGAGATATCAATTTTCCCAAATGTATTCTCAATATGTCCTTGGCTTTATAATGCATGCTATCAGTGACAAAAGTATTAATTTATTTTTTTTTATTTCTGATTACAGCTTTTGACATTTGATCGATACGGTGTCACTGGACATAATAACCATATATCAGTATATTGCGGATGTCGGTGAGTTTTGTGTTTTGCCCTCTACATTTGCGTACTTATAAATTCAACCCTGTCGTGCTGTTTAGTTGAAGTTAAATCTCGTGAAACTTAAATGTTTTCAAATATGTCAAGTGTGTTTTACATTTTTACTAAACTAGTTATCTCCCTTGCACTGGATCTTTCTTATGCCAAAAGGTGGGGCTATCTCCAAAGATGAGAGATGAAAAGACAAACTCTGTGAAAGTAGAGTACCACAATAATGATTTTTTTTGATAACATGGATTTGATTAGTATTAATATAAGATTCTACTGGACATAAAATGGGGGGATGGATTTTCTATTGTCATTAAGTAATAAACTGATCCCTCATTCTGAATTACTAACTATTAATATAATAATTGAAAAAAGTATATTTAAAGACTCGCATCTGAAATAGCTTGTAATAACAAAATTATCCATTTTTGACAACATCGACTTAACTAGTATTAATATATGATTCTGCTGGACATAAAGTGGGGGATCTGTTTTCTGTTGTTATTAACCCTCTGAGCCCTGTGTTTCTGAACAATTTTAACGCTTCTGCCTGAGCTCTTGAGTCAAAACTTGCAAATAATTGGTATGTAATGTTTCACGGTAGATATAAAAATAGTTACAAGTGTTTACTCACCATTCAACCAGTGGCTGGATATTAAGTCATTTTTCTCTACCCCTATTCAACCGGTGGCTGGGCATTGTGTTATTTTTTTTTCATACCACCTGTAAAGCGCTGGTTAGGGCTCAAAGGGGTTAAGTAATGAAGTGATCCCTCATCCTATATAATAATTGGAAACAAAGCCTCTACTGGACATAAAGTGAGGGATCTGTTTTCTGTTCTTATTAAGTAATAAACCGATCCCTCAGTAATTACTACATAATATAATAATTGGAAACAAATCCTCTACTTGACGTAAAGTGGGGGATCGGTTTTCTGTTATTATCAGGTAATAAATTCATCCCCAATCCTGAATTACTGACTATTGATATAATAATTGGAAAAAGTATATTTAAAGACTCACATGTGAAAACCTTCTAATAACAAAATAAGCCGTTTTTGACAACATGGGTTTAACTAGTATTAAGGAGATTCTATGGGACATAAAGTGGAGGATCTGTTTTCTTTTGTTGTTAAGTAATGAATTGACCCCCCCCCATCCTGAATTACTATTAATATATTAATTGGGGAAAAAAGTATAATAATAGTAAAACTGGCTGCTCCCACTCTCTAGCTTGAAAACTAAACTGATAACATTCCATCATCGAGTTGACCCTGAATCTTTGCCTGTCGTGATGAACAAATGTTCTCTCAGGCATGCCTTGTACCTTGAGCAGGACAACACAGCTCAACACAGACCTCAAGTGGAATTTGTACATATGATCCATCACTGGAAAAATAGTTGGTTTTGTGTACCATTCCAGTAAGTACCTGACTCCTCCTGCTATCCTCATAAATAGTTAACCCCCAAACTGGAGTCAAAGCACTATGAAAGTGTAAAAATAAGTTTTAATACCATAAACACTTTGAAAAAAAAAAATACCAACAATGAAAATTTTGTCGGCATTAAATAACCCATTGAGGTTGATATGCCATAAAACAAACCAAATCAGAATAGGCATGTCCTGGGTAAGACAATAAGCTACACCCAACAGCAAGGCCTCTGATCAGGAGGTTTTCAGGTGTGTGGAACCACCTCTTAATTGCTGGTGTTTCCAGGTCTACCCTGACCTGGTTGTCCTGGGTATGATGATAAACTGCATCCAGCAGCAAGGCCTCTGATCAGGAGGTTTTGAGGAGCATGGAACCGCCTCTTAGTTGCTTTTGTTCCCAGATCCACACTGACCCAGGGTGGTAGCACCCATTAGGATCCCAGCTATGGGTAAATAGTAACCCCACCTCCCTTGATCTGGAATTGGAATATTAGGAAAGTGTAAGAATGAGTTTTTTGTAATAATAATGCCATAATTGCAGTATATAAAGCGCACATTCACAAAACCCAATTTTAAAAAAAATAAAATTTCCCCTAAATGGGGCTACCCGTTTGCTGTGGGTGGCGACCCGTGATGCCTGGGGATGGAGTCCTGGTGACTGAGTGACTCCTGATCTGGTGTAAAATGACCAGGAGTTTCCACAACACCTCACTTCGGTCCTTACCTGGGATAGATGGGCCCAATCCATTCCAATCGGCTAGTCACATAGTGGCAGGGCCATGAAACTTTACATCATACTATACTTGGGTAGATATGGTGTGGGAGTGTAGCTGCTCGTATCCACTCTCATCACAACTATACTGTCTGTGTAGCCCTGGCAGATTATGGCAAATGGGATTAGTCCCCCCTGATAGCGTCCCTTAAGAAGGAACTCCAAGGTGGGTGGGGAGCACAGATAGTGAATACAAAAATTAAAATTATATGGCTATCTCTTATAAGTGAACCCATTGACAATATGAGACTTCTGAAAGTGAAAATGAAATAGAAAAAAATCAATTTCCAACTTTCATTGTTGTAGAATCAGTAGAGGGTGATATATCAAAAGTGTTTCCTTTCATGTTGCAAAGGGTTATTTCAGACATGATCAAACCACAATCTGTTAAAAAAATAAAGAAGAATAATACTCTATTAATTCAAGTGATATCCAAAAAAGATGCAAAGAAATTGCTAAAAATCAAGCAAATTGACAACAATAAAGTCAAGGCCTACCCCCATCAATTTCTTAATTCATCAAAAGGAGTAATAAAATGCCCAGAACTGTCACTTTGTTCATCAGAAGAAAATGAAAATGATGACACCCTAAAAAAGCAAGGAGTAACAGATGTTAAAAGAATGCAAGTCAAAAGAAATGACATCGTAATAAACACCAACACACATGTTTTGACAAGTGACAAACCGACTCTACCAAAAGAAATAAAGATAGGTTACACAATAGCCAAGGTAGAGCCATACATTCCTAATCCCCGTAGATGTCATAAATGTGGTCATCTTCAAAATGTTTGTATGAGAACATCAGTCTGACGAAGATGTGGGGAACTGGAAACTGATCATGATAAATCACCTTGTGAAAGGCCTCCTTTATGTCCAAACTGTAAAGAAAAACATCCAGAAGACTTCAAAGAGCGTAACATTTGGAAAAAGGAAAAGGAAATAATTAGAAGAAAATACACACAAAATATCTCCTTCCAAGAAGCCAGGAAACAGGTTGAATCTAATTCACTTCAAGCATCATATGCAAATATCATTAAAATATCAAATCAACAAAAAGTCATCCAAGAATACAATGCATTAAGAAGCCAAGATCTTATAACTCTTATTAACAAATTAAAAAGTTTAATCGAAATACTAAAATGTAGTATATCACTCATAAATCAAACTCTCATAGAAAAAAAAAATCCTGTCCTGTCAACCTTGAACAAAAAAAATCTCTACATGTACAAAACAATTAAATCTGAAAATTACAAACCAAAGTACAAAATTCCAATAAGTAGAAACCTCTAAACTTTCTCAAGAGAATCAAAAGGTACATAAAAAAAATAAATAAATAACTCTTCTTTTAGTGAAAAATCAAGAGAAGTGGACATAGAGGAACAAAACTTTAGCCCATCACAAACAAGGGAACAGTCATCATCTATACAAAGATCATTAAAAGAACCTAATAGAAAAACAAACCCTATACCATCAACCATAAACAAAAATGACTCTACATCTATAAAACTATTAAACCCGAAAAATCAAAACAAAAAAAAATCCAAAAAATAGAAACATCGAAACATTCTCAAGAGAATGAAAAGATACAAAAAAAAAAAAATAACGAAACGGTTATTGAAGAACCAAGGAAAATGGACATAGAGGAACAAATCTCTATCCCATCACAAACAAGGAAAAGATCATCATCTAGACAAAGTTCATTAAAAGAACTGAACAAATGGTAAAACTAAGGGAGCAAAATCAAACAAGAAAGTAGCAACAAAAGTTCAAAGAACAAAACAAGAAACAAAAATGCTAATAGTCTGAAGTTTATAGAAATGATGGACACTTCAGCCATATAAAAAAAAAAAAAAATTTTGGACATGTATAAATTTATAATTCATAATACATAATCAAGATGCAAAACCTTATTCAATGGAGTTGTAACTGGGGTCAAAACACTATGAAACTGTAGATATACGTTTTAATACCAGAAATACTTTGTAAAAAATTATTACCAGCAATGCATTTTTGAAAAGCAAATGTTGCCAGCAATGCATTTGTTTTTGAAAAGCAAATGTTGCCAGCAATGCATTTTTTGAAAAGCAAATGTTGCCAGCAATGCATTTTTTGAAAAGCAAATGTTGCCAGCAATGCATTTTTTGAAAAGCAAATGTTGCCAGCAATGCATTTTTTGAAAAGCAAATGTTGCCAGCAATGCATTTTTGAAAAACAAATATTTCCAGCAATATATTTTTGGGAAAAAGAAAAATATATATTACTAGCTATACATTTTTTGAAAAAAAGAAAAATATTACCAGCGATACATATTTGAAAGAAAATTATTACCAGAAATGGAATTTTTGAAGGAAAAATATTACCAGAAATAGATTTAAAAAAAAAAAAAAAAAAAAACATATTACCAACAATAAAAATTTTGTCAGCATTAAATAACCCATTGAGGTTGATATGCCATAAAAAAAACCAAACCAAACTAACTCTGGGTGGTAGCACCTGTTAGGGTCCTAGCTATGGGCAAATAGTTAACCCTTAAACTGGGATCAAAACACTATGAAAGTGAAAAAATAGGTTTTAATACCAGAAATACTCTGTAAAAAAATTATTACCAGCAATACATTTTTGAAAAAAAATTACCAGCTATACATTGAAAAAAAAAAATATTACCAGCAATAAAAATCTTGTCAGCATTAAATAACCCACTGAGATTGATATGCCATAAAGCAAAGCAAACCTGCTATCCTTGGCCTGACAAGAGTTATATGAGGATGAAAAATGGAGTATTTCTCTATGACAGGAGGTACCCAGTTTTCACTTTCCAGTCTTAATAGAATCCAAAATTATCTACGTGTCCTTGTGGACAACATATTTTCCACCCTACAATGCCTTTCCCAGATGAAACGTTGCAAACCTCTCATTGCTTTATCGCTATTTCCATGGAAAGTTTTCAGATGAACTACATTCCATTTCTACCCTTCACAGCTAAGATCCACCCTGCCATGCACATTGTAATGAACCACCCTCATCCCTTTCGCATTCCATTAGTGAGATGTAAGTTTCACTCAAACAGTTTCTTCACATAAACTACTGCATGATGAAACCGACTCCCAAGACGATACTTTCCTGATCACTACAATCTTAACATAGGATTAACCGTTATCTTCCCCATATATCTGCATAATCTGTGCCTCTTACTTTGTAACTCTGTACCTCAAGTGGCTCTTGGGGCTTGTACTGAGTGAACATTATTGTTAAAAAAAAAAAAAGGTGAGTAAGAATTTTCTTCACTGATTGTTTGTCCAGCTGATTATGGTCAAGATGCTGTGTCGGGACTGTTAATGGTAATTTGTCTTTGAATTTTGTCAAAAATCATTAGACACATAGCAAAAGCACCAGACCAGATGTGGCAGCAGTATTCAACATACAAACATATAGTCGACTTGTAAATGTGTAAGCTCATGTTGAACAGGCCTTCTTCCAGATCATTTCATACTAACCACAGGTGTCCGCCAGGGCTCTTTTCCTTGGACATATGCTGTTTGGGATCTTTCTGATGTCATCAATTCCCAACTAGGTATTTATGCAGATGACACATTTACTCCTGTTTTAGTAGAAAGTCCGACAGACCCAACAAAATAAGTCTGACAACAGTTCTTGAAAAGGACCTCTAATCAGTTGTTAACTGGAGCAAGAAATAGATTGTAAATTCTAACACCACCAAAACAAAACTACTTTTATTTAATTACTACAGAGGATCTATTATGGGCACATGGCCAAGTGGTTAGAACGTTCGCATTCTGACCATGAGATCCAGGTTCGAATCTCACCATAGTCAATTTGTCAGGATGGAGACTTTCTGATGTTATTAGAGTGGAGGGGTCAATCCCAGCCTGCGGCACCTTTAGAAAGTGCCTGAAAACCATGCCGCAGGTTGACCCTAACCTTGTGAGTGAACTAGGTTATACGGAACCCTTGGGGGTTGTCAATATCTGTGTTAGCACAGAGCCACAAGTCATCATGACTGAGGGTTTGAGTGTGCTGGTTTTGTTCAAATTGTTGATCATGCTAGATAACATGCTCTCTCCTACTATTCTATGGGTCACTATTTGTTGAATTAAAAAAAAAAAATGAGAGTAAAGATTGTGGCATGTTCGAATAAAATAATATTTATTTAAACATAGGAGACACAAATTTTGACTAATTACTTATCATGAAATGAAAGTTAGAAAGTTCTTTTCTTTGACTGTGAGAAAAAGACAAAATGGATTTAGGAGATAAGATCACAGGAAGTTTGTTGTTGCTTTGGTGAGAAAGACCGAACGATGAGGTTGACTCGTATCTCTTTACTTCTGTCAGTTCATCTACAGAGTTAAATGAATGTTTGGTTTTTATGGTTTCATGTAGGCTTCAGAAGCCTGTGTTTGTTTATTGGCAGGATTTTATTGGCTATTTATTTTTATTAAATTGAAAATTTGAAGCTTGTTTGAGATCCATAAAGCTGCATAGAGCCCTTGCGCACTGCGTTTATTTTTGTCATTTGCTCCTTTGATTTGATACTATTCACTTCCGCCTACTTTACATTACATCCGGCAGCAAGGAGGGTTTAGATGAGCATAAAACTACCTCTTAATTGCTGCTGTTCCCAGGTCCACCCTGACCTGGGGTGGTTACACTCATTAGTGTCCCAGCTATGGGCAAATAGTGAACCCCCTTCCCCGAATCTGTGGTCAAAATACTATGAAAGTATAAAAATACATTTTCATAGTAAAAATACCATCATTAGATTTTTAATAGTAAAAAACAAAATTTCCAGCAATAGATTTTAATAGTAAAAAGAAATTACATAATCATACAAGAAAATTAAATTTCACCATTAAATGACCCATGAGGAGTTGATATGCCGTTAAACAAACCAAACCAATCCTCTCTTCAATCAATTTGAAGTGCTATAATCTTCTTCTGATAAAGAACTCTCTTCCAATTCTATTCCTGACTCTGTAGGTGAACCTTTCGTCTGCCTCTCTTTCCACTTAGAACCGAGTCTCTACATTGTGATGTGCCTATAACTTTGTCTATGGTTCCTGCTATCATCTCCAAACTTGATCACCGCAAGAGTAGAAAAGGATGTTAATTTCGGGAGTTTCAGGTCATGGATTTTTCTATAGATTACTCACTCTTGATTCTCAATCACTATTATAAAAAATACTTGGAAAATTAAAACCTGAATTATTCTGAGATACAAAATAATCTAAGAAGAAAATGAGTAACGTTCGGAAAAATCGTATTTATTTAAATTTTCTGTTCTACAGTTCAGACGTTTTTATAAATTTAGGAATTGAAAAATTGTTTTCATAGTTATTTATTTATAAAATGGTAAATAATAAATATTGGATATCTGTCTATATCTCTGAGATGAGGTATTATGAATATGTGCATTATTTACATTATTCGAACTGTTATCCTTATCTTGATTGCTATATTCATGATGTTTTGGCCGTTGTATGCTCCGGCATTCTTCAGGTGATTGGATCTCTGAGATGGGGTATTGTGATTACTTGCATTATTTACATTATTCGGACTGTTATCCGCATCTTCATTGCCATATTCACAACATTCTTCAGGTGATTAGAATTTATAGCCAAACCATTTATGGCCTAGTGGATAAAGATGTTGGTTAGATCCAGTGACTATACCAGGCCACAGCAGTGGTGAACCAAAAACTTGGAGAGTTAAGTTAAAAGGGAAATAACTGAGACATCTGGAAGAGGCATGACATGCGGAACTAGAACAATCTACCCCATTGGATGAAATAAAGGGCTCAGTTCGAAATTCCATGGCAACGCCGTTGACCAAACTATATATCCATTTACTTTAGTCCAAAAGTACAGCTCTATTTAAAATAAACATTGCCCGATACACGAGTATATATGGTATGTTTTCAATGATGATATATAGTAATTCTTTGGGGATCAGTTTATTACTTAGTAACAATAGACAAGCGACTCCTCACCCCACCCCCACCGCTTTATGTCTAATAGAAATTAATTGTTTCCAATTATTATGTAGTATTTCTTGGGGAATCATTTTATTACATCATAACGAAAGAAAACCGCTCCCCCACTTTATGTCCAATAGAAACTTTAATTACCATATATACTCATATATCATGCGACTTTTGAAGCCAATTTTAAGGGGGGTCACATCACACGCAAGATATAAAATTAGTGTATGTACTGATGGCCCTGGCTATGCTGTTTAACTACAGTATAACCCAGATATAAGAGAGTTGTCGGGACTGAAGAAGAAGTCTCTTATATCCGGGATATAAGAGAGTTTATTTTATATACATTAACACAGGACTGAATTTGGGAAGAAAATCTCTTATATCCGGGTTTCTCTTATATCCGGGTTGGGTTTATTTTATATACATTAACACAGGCTCTAATTTGGGACCAGAGAAAATCTCTTATATCCGGGTTTCTCTTATATCCGGGTTTGGTCTATTTTATATACATTAACACAGGCTCTAATTTGGGACCAGAGAAAATCTCTCTTATATCCGGGTTACACTGTAAATATCCATTTACTTTAGTCAAATTAGCTTCAAAATCAGGTCTTCCAAGGTCACATGATACACAAGTATATATGGTAATAAGTGTTGTCTCAAATAAGCCCTGTGCTGGGAGTTGAAGGGAAAAAAAATTGATATAAATAATTTAATTGTATCAGTTTTAAGTTGGTATACAAGAATAAGTTTGTCAAATTGAAAGATGTTAAGAAATTGAATGAAAAACTTTTGATTATTTCTTAAATGTATGTTGCTTTTTTTTTGTTTTTGTTTTTTCAGAAAAATTCTTCATGATGGAAGAGTGCCAAATGGTATGTCCTGATTTTGACACCTAATACAGAACGGTATAGACAGAGATCAATAAAAATTAAAAATTAACTCACTGTCAATGTCTTGTAAGATTAACTTGCTATTCATAAAGCTGTAAGCATTCCCGGAAACAAAACAAATTTTTTCTAAAATTATTAAACTATTCCGTATTCATGTTTACTTGTGTACTATTTTGTAATTTGTCTTGTTGTCTAATGTTTTTGCGGACTTAATCTTTTATTGTTAAATTTCTCGGAATAATTCTGAAGACTATTTGGATAAAAAAAAAGGCAATTGGAAAATATATTTCTTAGTCATTGCCAACATCATGTTTCGTCAATCCGACTTTATCAAAGCAAGTTTAAAAGCAAAAAGGTTTTTAGTTTATATTAAATTCAAAATATTAAGAAAGGGATGCTCCTTTTGTAAGCCTCCTTCTAATTAATTTTTTTTCTTTTTTTCTTTATCCAGGCGTAGCTTTTCTTAGCCTAGAAACGACAAATCCATTGCGCAAGTACATCTCATTCTTGGATGTACCATTGTCGGTTCTTCTGGCTTCAAGAATCTACATTTCACCCCTCAGTGATGTCATTTGTGCACAGGTAAGAAGGTAATTGCTTACATCATCATAGGAAGGAACAGCTTATGAGAATAAATTAAACAGTAAGGTAGACTAAGCTCTCTAGCCTTGGTTGATAACCAGTCTGAGAAAAAAAAAAATCTGTGGAAAGCCGTGATTGCCTATGTCCAGAAGGGACAGCTTTTAACAGGAAAATCACTCTACTGTCTTTCAATATGACATTTTATAAATAATAAAGTAAAGGGAATGTGTGGAAGATCATGATTGCATATGTCCTGAAGGGACATAGTATTAAAAAATAATGATAATAATGATGATCTGAGTAAATAATCATGGAGTCGGACTAGGTTAGCCTGTCACATGGTTTACTCTCCTCCCATCTCTTTTTGAACAACTTGTTTCCTGTTTAGAATTGGATTTCTCATTCCTTCTAGTGTCTACTTCTACTCTAGATTTCTAACGTCTCCAATTGAACTCTGAAATTTTTTTTTACTATTTTTTTTTCCCTTCTTCAATGGGGGTTTATTAAGCAAGATCTTGTTTTTAACAGATAGGTATACCTATCAATCAGTTCACACTCCTGTCATTTGAACAAGAGTCAAGGTTTATCCCTTGTTTCCTGTTTAGGATTGGATTTCTGATTCCTTATAAAGTCTTCTCATTCTCTTTCATTCCCAGTAACTGCTTGTGTCTTAGTGGCATTATCACCTTGCTTGGGGTGAAATTTTTTAAAGGTAAAAATGATGAAAAAAAAATGATAGATTATAAAAATTATTTTATTGAACACTGGGGAAATTTGCATATAAAATTGTTGTATCCTTAAAGAGTTTACAGACAGACAAAGGTGGTACTCGAGTGAAAGGAACGGCAACACAGGTGTAGATGGAAGACAGGTTTATTGTAAAAGAGAATACATTGCTGAAAGACAGGGAATCGTCTAGCACTTCCTGAAGCCAGTTTCAGGTATGACCTGTGCACACTACATATATTTATGATATAGTCAGTCCACAATAGGAAATAGGGAGAATGGAAGATTCCATTACAACACCTCCCTCTGAGCTAATTTTCCCATTAAATTTTGCTCCATACCTCTCCTTTTTGGGGGTCAGGACATAACTGTTTGACTTTTTTCCTCTTCCTAGTACATTTCCATCTCACCAGCACAAAAAAATGCATGTCAGTACATTATTTTTATTTATTTTTTTTTTTTTTTTTTGGAAAAAGTGTGTCCTGTTTAAATACAATAATTATTAATTTTATTTTTATATTTTGTTGTTTAGTTTCCTTTTTTTTTTTTCTTTTTTTTTTTTTTCCCAGCGTGCAATGTTTTTGCATTGGACTCAGCTAACTTGGTACCGTATGCTCTACATAATCTTCTCGCGTTACATGCTCCTGAACACCGTGAACGAATTCCAGCAAGTTGAAAACGTGCCCAGGTGATCGTCAGTTGGATGATGACTTTATTTGCACCACCACCAACACCACCATCAACTGCGACAATGGGATTGGACATCTCTTCGCGTCTGGAGCGTGTGATAAGGTCGATAATAATTTTGGTGAGGGAAGAGAAAAGGAAGGTTAAAAAAAAAAAAAATATTTGAGAATCACCCCTCCTCCTTTATATGAGTGACAATTTAAAATTTTTTTTAATTTCCTGTCTGAAATTGTCTCTTCATTGACACCTCAACACACTCCATTAACGGCATTATTTGTCAAATGGGCAGCAATTTTTTGTTTATGCAAGTTTGGTCAAGGACTAACAAAAGTTCTTCATTGAGGATTTTTTTAAATTTGTTTTTTCTACATTCCAGATCATTTTATTGGTTTCAGGTACATATTTAAATATGAAATACTAGAAGCATTAAGCATAAAAGACAAACAACACCAACATCAATAAAATGTTATCAAATTCAGGAAGAAACAATAAATATGGCTGGGTATTTAAAAAAAAACCAAAAAAGATGGTACAAATAGCCACATGAACATGTGGACAACAACAGTTGAAAATAAAAAAAAAATAAATAAATAGTACAAAAAGCCAAAGGTCTTTGATAATGGCTAACAAGAGCTGAAAATACTCGGATATTGGATGATTTATATTTAAATATGTACTTGAAAGAAAGAAAATAATCCATAATATGGAAAAAAATGAATTAAAAAATTCTTTTGTTAATGTTTAAAAAACCTTTTGTATAGTGTGTGTTTTTATATTATATATATATATATATATATATATATATATGTGAAAAGTGTGTATATAAATATATAATTATTTATATATTATATGCACGGTACTTATTAGAAAGCGCTCAATATCAGAGATAGTTAACATATTTGGTTGGATAGATGTGAGTTTGTGACCCTGGGTTTCACGCTTTAGTGATTGTCAGACAAACTGATTACTTTTTAAAAAAATTTTGGGTTTATGTAGATTGCATGTATTGGTGTTATTGTGGAAGTGGCGTAAAATTATGATAGGTAAAAATTATTATTATTTATATTTATTTTTATTTTAAAATTTTTGAAAAACCACTTCCACAATAACACCAATACATGCAATCTACATAAACCCAAAATTTAAAAAAAAAAATTAATAAGTTTGTCTGATGATCACTAAAGCGTGAAACCCAGGGTCACAAACTCACATCTATCCAACCATATATATATATATATATTGTATGTTTGTGAAATGTTTTTAAGGAAAGAAAAAATATGTGTAATCTGTTTGTGTGTGTGTATATATATATATATATATATATATATATATATATATATATATATATATATATATATATGAAATATCTAAACAAAGATTGAGTATGTGAAAACCAGGTGGATTTTTATAAGATTCTATTTTCTTGTTGACAAATCACTCCTTTTATGTGCACATTATCAAAACATTACTGAAAAAAAATCTAAGCAAAGTTGTTACCAAAGCAATCTTGCAGCTTAAAAACACCGTAGTCAATTTGAAAAAAAATTAAGTTAATAAAATTTAAAAATACACCCACACACGAAATCCATCTTTATTGCTGACAGTCGACTGAAGAATACAGCGCCAATGACAAATTTCTGGTCAAATCTCATTAATATTGCAGCGTAAACAAATTCACCAGAATGTCTTGTTTGTTAATCTAATATTTGATATTGTTTGTTTTAAAAATAGTTGATGGATGAAGGTTTACTCAGCAAACATTTGTCAATGTTTAATCTGTTTTGTACCCACAAAAATATTGGGTATACCAAAAGGAAAGTTTTTTTTTTTTTTTTTTTTTTTTCCTTTGACACTGCTATTATTTTAACTACCTTTCTCCTCGGCAATGTTTATTGTTTTAAAAAAGTGATGATTACAATTTTAATAAAACCTAAACATATGAAAGTGAATTTATAGATTTTCTTTGTTCCTGAGAATTGACAACAAAAATAATATAAACTATTTATTTATTAGTTTGTTTATTGGAATGGTTGGCAAAACATCGGCTAATTGCCAATTAATTCAAACTTTATAAAATGGTAAATAGTAAGGATTTCCTTTTACAGGGTGCCCATTAAAAAAGACTGTAAATTCAGAAAGAAATTTATTTAGCCATTGTGAACAAACTTGAACAATCATCGTAGATGTTCAAAATGTTTGCCTGAATGTTCAAGTTGTGAGCATGGTTACCTGGAGTCTGTAGCTTTGTGGATAATGTCTGGAAGAATTTCATTCCAAGATTCAGTTAAGTCCCACTTCAATGAATCAATATTGACAATGTCACAATGATGGTTTTGCAAATGAGTTAGGAGTATACTACAAATACAATAATAATCTATAACATTCGGATTTGGGCTTTTAGACAAACACTGAGATGGACCAATTAGAATTGGTGTATTTTCTCAAAGAATAAATTTGCCGCTTTTTTACTGGGAATTCTGTAGTTGCTTCATATATTTTAATAATTTAGTAAAATGTTTATAAATAAAAAATTATTTTCATATTTATTTCTTTATAAATTGGTAAATGATAAATATTGTATTTGCATTAGTTTTAATTGTCGTAGTTTTCAGAATGTAAATATAAAATTATTCTTGTAAATAATCTAATAAATAGTGTTTAATATTTTTGTTGTCAGTTCTCAAGAACAAAGCAAATGTATAAATTCACTTTCATCATATGTTCAGGTTTTATTAAAATTCTAATCATTGCTTTTTAAAACAATAAACATTGCCGAGGAGTGAAGGTAGTTAAAATAATAGCAGTGTCAAGGGAAAGGCTGTTTTTTTTTTTTTTTGTTTTGTTTTTTTTTGTTGAGGCCTGAAAGTTAAAGATTTTTGGAAACTGATGGCTTAATTAATGAAAAGAAATTTTTTTTTTTTTTAAATTAATGTTTTGAAAAGCAGAAACAGAAAGATTATTTAATTGTAACAGTTTAGGGGAAGTGAACAGGAGGAGGCATTTCATCACCACCAACTCAACACCAGAAGAGTCAATGTGAGGACAACTCAATGTTGGTATTGAATCCATAGCTTCACTGGTGTTTAATTTTTCAAACTTTTCATCACCCTGAAAATGGAAATTCTTTGTCAAAGAGAAATTTGCACATGAAAGCCATTTATGTATATTTGATAAGTTTAGCAAAAGAGATAGCAAGATAAAATTTTGGCATTGTGAAAAAGGCTCTAGGTACAATGATCGGATATCATACAAAGTTTAGAGCAGTTATCGAGGAAGCAAATAAACACTCCAACAATTCAGCAGTGGCCAATGATGAAGTGGCCAAAGTGCAAGTAACATTGAAATGTTGCGCCAAAAACGCCGTTGAATTTTGCAGATTGTTTCGTCTTTTTCACAATGATCTCCAACTGAATATTTGAGCAGAATTGTATACAATTTTCAATAGATTTTTAAATTAAAAATAAAGACATGTATTACAAAATGATCCTTAATAAATTACTTTTATTTGGTTTTAAAAAGTTGTTTTAAAAATGTTCCTTACTAAATTACTTTTGTTCGGTTGTAAAAAGTTATGTATTAAAATATTATCCTTAATTTCTTTTTTCGTTTTTAAAAAAAGTTGTTTTCATCCTTAATAAATTATTTTTATTCATTTTTCAAAAGTTATATATTAAAAAATTAAAATGCAATTTTATTTGTTTCTAAAAATTTATGTATTAAAAAATGATCCTCAATTAATTACTTTTATTTGGTTTTAAAAAGTCACGTTTTAAAAATTACCCTTAATAAATTAGTTTTTTAAAACTGAATAAAAGTATGTAGTAAAAAAATGGTCCTTAAATTTTATTTGTTTCTGAAAAGTTATATATTAAAAAATGATACTTACTTTTATTCAGTTTTAAAAAGTTGTTTTAAAAATGATCGTTACTAAATTACTTTTATTCGATTTTAAAAAGCTATGTATTAAAAAATGATCCTTAATAAATTACTTTTTTTGCTTTCAAAAAGTTGGCAAAAAAATTTCATAGTTTGCATGTCATTGAGTTGTCCTGGAATTGAATTGTCACAGTTGTGTTGGCCAGTGATGAGAGTTGTCCTGCATCCAATTTAAATACATGATTTCAAGCAAGTTATCTCCTCTTGGTCTTACTTGTTGAATTATTTCATAGTCTTTCCAGAGACTCCCAATTGTTATTGTTGATGTGCCATTCTGTTGAGATTTACAAAGTGATGATAAAAACTGTAAATATAATTATTTTGCCAGCTTTAATTTTTGTAAAATCTTCTATGTGCTGTACACTTATGAAATAATGAATAAAATGACTGCAAGTGGGACTCAAACCACCACCAGCTCATGAATGCTACTTGAAGTTGTTTGTTTTTATTCCTAAATTGTCATCAGTACTCATGAAGGCCTGAAAACATTCTTCAGATGTTTATAAAGTGTTCATTGGTTGATTTTTATCATGTCAACTCTTTTACTTTCTTTTGATCATTTCACCCCCAAGCAAAGTGATAAAGCCACTAGGATGCAAGAGGTTATTGAGTACAAGAATCTGCGAAAACATTGAGGAGAAAGGACAATAAAAGAAGACAGAAGATAACGATTGTCATTGCATTTAAATTTTTGAAGATCGTAGTTGACAGGAAAGTGAATTCCACAGACAAGAGAACAAACTCTTATTATAGAACTTGTGCTTACGTTGAAGCAATTTCAATTATAAAATGAGACCTAGCTGCCAATCTTGTACTGACCTTAAATTTTGTGAATTCAATGTACAAAAGAGGCAAGCTCATCAGGACAGTTACCATGAAGGCATTTATTATTTAATGAGTTATTTATTACTTAATAGAAAATTGGTCCCCCACTTTATATCCAGTAGAGGCTTTTGTTTCCATTTATTATATTATGTAGTAATTCTTGGGGGATCAGTTCATTACTTAATAACAATAGGAAACCAATCCCCCACTTTATGCCCAGCAGAATCATATTAATGCTAGTTAA